GTTGAAACAGAACAAAATAATACATTAAGTTTCCTTGATGTAAAGATTATTAGAATAAGAACAACAATAACACCCTCATATCAAACAACAGTATATAGGAAACCTATATACAGTGGTCTTATGACTAAATGGGATTCATTTGTTCCATTTTCCTATAAAAAATTAGCACTAAATACTATATTAAACGAGCAATTCACATATGCTCAAATTATGTTCTTTTACATAATGAATTAGAGTTTATATATGAAGAACATTTAGGGCTTTTCTTGCAAATTCTATAACACAGTACAAAAAGTCTACTTACCTTTTTCTTATTCTGTACATTTTATATTTTCTATCTCAATAAAAACTGCTGAATCTTGAAATTAAATTCTAACTACGAGCAGTGATGAGTCCTCTCAATATCAAGAGAACTAAACAAAGATAAATAAAAATAAAAGTGTCAGCAATCTTTGTTTAGTTCTCTTGATATTGAGAGGACTCATCACTGCTCGTAGTTAGAATTTAATTTCAAGATTCAGCAGTTTTTATTGACATAGAAAATACAAATTTTTAGTCTTCTCTCATAGTGTGTGTCTACAGGTAAATGAAAGAAAGACGAGAAAAAACATTAGATACATATAGTCAGCTGTGCTGTTATCCTTTCTATGTAACAGTCTATATGAAGAGCAACTTGAGAATGACGGTATCAATAGGTAGAAATATTGACTTGTGATTTTAATGTTTATTAAATTTTTTATTAAAGTTCTTAACATATTGGCTGCAACTATTCTTAAATTTCTATTTTTAACCTTACTCATTAAGTCACAAAATGCTACTAAATATGTTATTTCTTCTTTTCGAACACTAATAAGTTCTCTATATTGAATTTGAATTTATTAAAAATGTTTCAGAATTTCGTACAACTCTATCGTAGAAAGTGAGACTGACTCATCATTATTAACTTTAACGGCGAAAAAACAAAATTTACTGTAACATGTTTTACAAGACAGTAGACAAAGTTATATTTATAAATGAATAAAATTGTTAACGTGATCACACTTTCTATATCACATCAACGTTGTTGTTTATATTTGTTTTCCGTTCTTTCATATATTTAAATAAAATTCTTACCTTGACGATAAAAACATTTTTCTCTATCAGATTGCTTCTGTTCATCCATGTTTTCTTGCACTCGAACGAATGTTGACTAAAGACGTCATTAAGAAAATGTGTATTATTCTTGCTATGCAGTACTAAGTCTTTAAGGTAAATCATACCTTATAATGTCGATAGAACAAGAAAACACATACAAGAAGAACAGTTCGAACATCGGTAACTTATATTAATAATCGTACATTTTATTACTTACGTAGTTCGTTCATAATGAGCTGTTTTTACTTTACTTATATTCTATTTATTGTCTGTCTTCATAGTGGTAAGTTTTCTGAGACTGCTTCATTCATTTTCTACGATCTAGAGTTCTGCATATTTCGAAATATTTCTGATAAATTCAAAATCAATATAGAGAACTACTATTAATTAATTCATCAAATGCCATATATTGTTTGTACGCGACAGGCTAGTTCAAAAATCAAGCTCTTTCAAGACCTAGAAAAATAAAAGAACTTTTTCTTCTTTGTCGTATGAAGACTCATGGCATCTACCGTCGATTGACCTGCCTTAACCTCTTCGAAAGTATAACGGAAGTGATAATTTGACGAATAAGGGAAGCTGTCAAAAATACTGGAATTCGTAGAATGTAGATCTAGACTATATTCTATGCATATATTTCTTTACAGAGATTTAGCTACGGCAAGTCCTTTGAGGGGTATCAGAATGGAAGATTTTTATAATTTGGCCGAAATATGAATGGATTGGAGTGACTTTCATTGAAAAAAGTTACATTAAAGCGTTTTTTAATGAAAGTTCCGGTACTTTCATTAAAACTTTTTGATGCCACAAAGATTTTATCTAGTATATATATCCCTTAGAAAAGATAGCTGTTTCACTTCGTACTTCAAAATACGTATGTCTGCTTGGCCAGCTAACTCTGCTACCGGAATGCTGTTGTGCCACAGGGTTTTTGGCATTTTGATTCTCTTACAGTTTTCGAATGGTGGGTGACCCAGAGCTAGCTTTGGGTGGTGTCAGATTAAAGAAAAAAGTTTGCTAAATATTTCGAGATGTTTCGACACTCTACACAAGCTTTCATCCAAAACCTACAATAAAAATACAAAGTATTACTTTTCATGACTTACCTGAAAACGTAAGCGTTTGCATTTTTATCACAATTTTTTGAAGAAAAGATTGTGTGAAATGCGGAAACATCTCCAAATCTTTAGCCGACTTTTCTCTTTTATTTGAAATGATCCAGAGCTCTGGGCAACCCTCCATTCGAAAATATAAGAGAGTCAAAATGTCAAAAGTTCGTGACGGAATATCAGTCCGGTAGCAGAGTTAGCCGGCCAAGCCGATGTATCACTAAACGATAAATATTTTGAAGAAAATCCAGGATCACCGAACACACCGGAAGTTCTATTAAAATTTTTAATGAACTTCCTTTTAATGAAAAATGTTTTAATGAAACTCTGATATTCCATATGAATGAGTTATGAGCCGTAGATTGAACATTGGTCAACTCTACTATTTCATTATTATTCTATTCTAATTCACGAAATATAGAATACATCGATTTCTGAAAAAGATGAACTTCATTCTTTTTTAAACGGCTAGTAATTGGGATACTGATTTGGCAGCTTTTGCATTAAATGAAATAAATTAGTTTTTAAACCGATCTAAATTGCAAAAGAATAATCTCTTGCTTCGTTCTGTAGTGGTTGTACATGAAATTCTACGCAGAATTCTCTTTTGTACAATTATATGTTTCAAAAAAAGAATGTGTTTTTGTTGTGTTAGCCCTGCAGATTACGACTTTTTGACAATCTATAACCTAACCTATAAAGGTTTTCACAACCTAAACCTAACCTAACCTATTAATGTTTTTCGTAACCTAACCTAGCTTAGCCTAATACAACCTTTTGCAATTTTTTCCCAAAACCTGGTTTCGGAAGCCTAAACTTCAGCTTTATTCTATATCATTATTGTTTTTCATCTAAACACTGTCTGAAAGGTAAGCTTATACAAAATAAATCACATTTTACATGAATATAAAAATGAATCGGTTGAGTCTTTTATTCTTTAATGCAATCTTTGGAAAATAGCTTTCTGAATAAGACCCTCTTAAGAGTAGACCAGAATTCCACTTTAGGCTCTCGATACTAGGAAGGTTCTGTTATTGTTGTGTATTTACCATCTATTTTTAGCAAACGGAAATTTTTCTCTGTAATTCCTTTTTTGATTGTGCTATTTTTCAGTTTAAAAATAGTTCAGTTTAAACTAGAGAATCTCAGTCTGAACTTCATCTTCAATCGATAAAATTCCACTCGAACTACGCTTTATTGCTTAAAGTGTTGATTGTTTTAATGTGGTCGTTCAAAATCGTTTTTTTTCATTTAGATTAAATAGGTTATCAATGGTGTAACGTACACCCTAATATATAGAAATCGTAGCCTAAAACTGACCTAAATAGGTTAGGTTAGTAGGGTAGGTTTAATCTGCAGGGCTCTAGAACAAAACAAAGTTTTCTGCCAAATCTTAGAGATCCGATCATAACGACTAATCATTTATTTCAAAATTTAAAGAATCAATTTAAATGGATCAAGTTTTTATTTGTTTTATTGGAAGGCTCAGATTTTTGGTAAAATATCGTCATTTTTTGAAAAAGTAGCAAAAAATAATGAAAATTCTTGCGCCCTCAGTTCTAACTGAAAATTATTTAATTACAGACGGAAGATAGAGCTTTCTGAGGCGTATACGGTGGCTACTTCAGCTTTCCTCCCTCGCAAACTTTTAGCATATAATACAAAAAAAACTGTAACTACGATTATTTTTTCGACATTTTGGTACTTCTCACAATTTCTCATGGCATTTTACACCTTCAGATTTTGCAATGAAACAGACAATGCATCTTTTGTAGAGAATTCAACGGGGAATCTTCTGGTAAAAAACTAGCTCAATCAAGTGTAAGGTGGAAGAGAAATCTTGAAAATACAAAGTCTAATTTATTCTGTGCCAAGCGATAGAATTGTATTGTTTCTATAATAAACTATTCGGATTTCTTGAATTCATCATTCTACTGTTTTAAAAATCCTATTGATCAGAACCGAGTTTGATTCTTTTTCTCTACTTCAAGGCATTTCAATAACAACGTCAAATCGAAAATGTCGTTGCCTTCCTAACAGCGACTGTTGGCCAAATATAACAACCTGGCAAATGTTCAATTCGTCAATACAAGGGAAACTTTTACAACCATTACCATCAGCATCATCCTGTCACAATCCGAATTTTAACCAGAATCAATGTAACATTACACAAAACAACTGGTTCAATGCTGTTTGGCGCGGTGATCAATCAGGTGCAATGCAAAATATAAACTGGGAAGCAGATGGAAATCAAACTTGTTTAATAAGTAGTCCAAAGCAGACGCAGTGTTACCAAGGATCTGTTCCGAGATATGCTGTAAACGCAACAAGTGCATCAGACATTCAAAAAGCTGTTCAGTTTGCTGCTAACTATAATTTACGTCTCGTGATTAAAAATACTGGCCACGATTATCTTGGTCGAAGTACAGCTCCTGGGTCATTGATGATATGGACTCATTACATGAAAAGCATTTCCATCATCGACAATTATATACCAGATGGATGTAATATTTCAGCTATTTCTGCCGTGAGAGTGACTGCTGGAGTTCAAGGAGGAGAAATGTATGCAGCGCTTGATGCACAAAATCTGGTGGCGGTCGGTGGAGCGTCAGCAACAGTCGGTCCTGTTGGCGGTTATGTCCAAGGCGCTGGACACGGTCCATTATCACGTCTGCATGGTTTGGCGGCTGATAATGTTTTACAATTTGAAGCTGTTACTGCCGACGGTGTTCTACGTACTGCAAATGCCTGTCAGAACAAGGATCTGTTCTGGGCACTTCGTGGTGGTGGAGGAGGAACATTTGCAGTGGTTGTTTCAGCAACATTCAAAACATATCCGTCACCAACTATTGTAGGAGCCATTTATGCAGTCACCGCTACTAATGACAGTGTTTATAGTAGCTTTATTACTGAGTTTATCCGTATTACTCCAACACTTGCTGATGCTGGATGGTCTGGATATTTCTATTTGTATCCATCTAGAACTTTTCTGATGGCCTATCTGATGCCGAATGCAAATGTCTCTTATGCAGAAGCTACACTTTCCTCACTTCTCATCGGTCGAAGCACAAATTCTGGCTTGAGTATAACAGGAGATGTTTTCTTCATGCCTTCATTCTATAGTTATTTCCAAGCCTTGCTGCTAAATGCAAATCCAACTGGAACAAATGCAATTATTGGTTCAAGATTGATTCCAAGATCAGTTGTTGACAATTCACCTGATCAGTTTGCTCAGACACTGTTGAAGATACAACCACCATCATCCACTTCAGGCCAAGTTATTGGTCATCTTGTTGCTGGAGGAGAGGTTGCGATGAATAATGGAACTAATACGTCGTTAAATCCAGCTTGGCGGAAAGCCCTGTTGCATGTTGTTTATGCGAATGGATGGTCAGACACTGCAACACTAACAGAGCAATCGCAGATAGCTGTACAAGTAACGACAAATGTTGAACTGTTGAAAAACCTTACTTCTGATTCTGGTTGTTATTTAAATGAAGCAGATCCAAATGATCCTAATTGGCAACAATCTTTTTTCGGAATTAATTACGATCGTTTAAAAACAATTAAAGATCAAATTGACCCAAATGGTTTGTTTATCTGTAAAAATTGTGTTGGAAGTGAAGAATGGACAAATGATTTGAATTGTCCAAGTAGAGCTACAATGAAGAACAATCGAGTCTATTTTTCAATACTCATTGTTTATTTATTGTTTTGCTGCCTTAAATAATACTTGCTATAAAAATAACATTCATAGTAGACTGCTAACATGTTCTCTTTAGCTTTTGTCGCCTAGAGTATTTTTCAAGCGAAGTGAAGTTTGTTTGTTTACTTTCTTTTTGATTACTAACAATCAACACTTACTGTGCTGAATACATAAACCCTTTATACAAAAAACTGTTGATCTTTTTACTTCTGTTTAATGCGGCTCAACTGTACTTTAGTATATTTTTTACTATTAACTTTATTCAATGTTCACTACTTATCTATTTGTCTTTTTCTACATAATAAACAGACTGGAAAACTATCTTTTCGATCTATTCATTGAACTTTTTAAAAAGTCTCTTGCAAAAGTCAAAACAACGCGTTTAACAGATAAATGTAACCAGATAAACAATCTGTTCCGGTGATAAAAAGCCTAAGCTTTTGCTCGTTTTCAATTATTTAGTTAAATAATGTTCAAAAAATGTCTATTCCAAAAAACGATAAGTATACAATAAAGAGGAAATTCGAAAGCGGTGAATTCACAACATGTGAAAAGAGTGAATAAGCAGAATCCAGCGATTCATTTCCTAGTGTAAAAGACAATCAAGAAAACATTGTTGCATTTGTTAACTGTGTTAAATGTAAATCAATATTAGCGTATGATGCTGAAAAATCCAGTTCAAAATCATGCAAGCATTTAGAAACATGCGAAGATGGACGTATGCACTGAACATAACAAAACATTGTACAAGTGACAAAGCTGCGCCGAGTTCATCTAACTCAAAACAATTTAATTACTGAAGCTTTGGCCAAATTTTTGTATATAACATGTATCTTTTTGATGTGGTATAAAGTTGAGAAGAGGTTTCTTAATAACGTACCTCTTGTTATATTTCTAGAAGACTACGAGTTCAGACAACTTTGTCATTGGTTGAGTATACTAGGCTAGAGATAACAGCTACCTGGTTCTGCTTGTTCTTTATTGTAATTGTGTTTTGCTTATGACCATGTGTCGACATTGCGTAATATAACCATAAGCATCGGTAACAAATTATTTCCATTCGACAAATGAATCTATATTTCACGGTTTAGTAAATGTTGATATTGGTATTTTACCATCAGACTACATAAGAAGCCCCAATAGACGTTGGATATTTGACAATACTTTCTTCAATGGCGTCTAAATCCTACTTGATTACACCAGTACTTGCTACATTCGTCGACAAACCATAAGGAGAAACAACTTATATTGATGGTTCTTATGTCGTCTGAAGATGAAACAGCAATATCAACATTTATTACGGACTCTTAACTATCAAATATAGATTGAACTGTCGAATGTCAATAATTTGTTATAGACGATTATGGTTACAATGAAGTAAACAGGTTCAGTAGTTAATCGTTGGCAATATCGGAGAAACGGAAGAGAAATCTGTGAAACCTTCAAAACTTTGAGGAGTAGAGTGCGAGAATGCTAAGTAAGTGCTATGTCACCATATTATTTTGTTTTTCTTTCTCGTTATTATTATTCATTTGTGGGTGAGTGATTTAATTTTGTTGATCTGTTGACTTTGTTTTTTTAATTTATAGGGTGTTTGATCGTTCATTTAGCCAGTTTGTTTTCGGAAGCCGTTGTTACTTAACACGTGTTTTAAAAATTTCAATTAGATTTTTAATAAACTATCGTCTGAATAAATTTCAGATGCTCTAACTACTAATGAAGTAATTAAACCAGCTCCTAGGTACCGAGAATATATATTAATATTATTTTAAGCTATTTAGGTAAAGAATCATTCTATTTGAAGGAAATACATAGACTGATGTATTCTACATCTCTTATCCTCCATAGAAGTATCGTAGCGAATCATGCTTTTTAGCGAGTATTAGAGAGAGGTACAAAATTTATTCCGCGAGTCAACCTGTCCTATACGCCACACGCCTCTAACTTATTTCTGATCTTCTCAGTTACCCATCTGCAACTCTCTCTCACCATACCAAAAAGCTCCTTCCCTCCGGTTCTTGTAATGTTGTTTGGTGAGGGAGCTAGATAAATTTGAGTAAGCAAAGGAGACTTCATCTATGTGACACCGTATAAGAACAAACAATACAGAAGACATCAAGCCAATCAAAGCGTTTGGTAGAGCGAATATATTGAAGAATAGAATTAAAAATCGATAGTAGGGTATCTCTACTTAATGCGTGGATATAGTAGCATGTATTCTAAAGTGATAGGAAAATTTATGCCACCACGCATCTGTTGAAATATCTCCCGTGGCTGTTCTTCATAAGCAATACATGCCAAAAAGAAGTGTTTTACTATTTCTTATTAGGCCTACAGTTACATGCCGAGGACTGTATTAAGGGTGGAGGGGGCTTCCTCCCAACCATTTTTTCGATCGGTTTGTAGAGCACACTTTGATACTTATACCTCAAGCCTTTTGGTTTCCGGATCCGTAGTTTTTGAGAAAAGTATTTTTAAGTTCTGCATGGGGTTTTTGTCCAATTTTTAAAATTTCCATAAATATTTCATTTTTCGAGATAGAGCCCTTGCATCTGTTGTCATTGGATCTATATAAAAACAATTTTCGTCGTTATCGGATGAAATCTGTCGGAGAAACTTGAGTTTGACTTGCCCATACCATTTCTAGTACAAAAAAAGTATTTTTAAGAAAGCCTTCAACAGCGTTTCGCTTTAGGAAAGCATTATGGAACAAAAATATATAGCAGTAGTATGTGTCAGTCTTTTCACATATATCTCGAGGCGCTCTATCGATTGGTTACAATTATTATTAGTTGAATGATAACCGTTTTGTACAATGTTGAAGTCCAATTAATTGATGAATAAAACAGCTAATATTCTTCTTTGTTGTTCCGAGAAGATGTGATGGAAATCGCGATGCTGATGTACAGAAAGAGAAACGAAAATAAGTATTGCAAACTAAAATACTAAATTATGAAAATATTAAATATAAATTAAATATAGAACTGAATTTATAAAAATTATTTAAATAGAATATTAAAGCTCCTACTTCCCTGTATATGCGAGAAGAAGAAGGAGTGGTTTGAATTTGAAGATTAATCAAAAGAGTTCTCTCCCTACAAATGTGACAGAGAGAGAAGGAGAAGGAGAGAAGAGATGTTATTCTGAAGCTGAAAAGTGACAAGAATGATAAAAAACTCGAAATGTGCTTTCGATTATAACTTGTTTTTCGTTTTGCTCGCAGGAGACAAAAATGTAATAATTTTTGTTTATTAATAATTTGATGTCGAATATTTCTCTCACCTTAAAAACCGCGAAGCTTCGAAGTTGCAAGAATTTCTAGAAATTGCGATAAAATCAAGGAAAGAGAATAATGTAATGGCGATGAGCCGTTACACCCCCACCCGACTAGAACACAATTTCAGTAAGATAAGAAGGTACTCTACGATGCATACTTTTGTGAAATAAAATTATGTATCTTAGAGCGCAACATGTTCGACTATATTCGAAATCTTAAGGACCTTAATAAAATGAAATTCTTGGTTTAATTCAAGCTTCAGTGATTCAACCTTAGGACGGTGGTAAATAGACTTTTAAAGATGAAAATTTGAGTGATTTTTCTTTTATGTTGGCTGCTGTTTTGGTTATTAGTCTCACAAGAACGATAATAACTTATATATGAATAGGATTTATGATTATTAATATTAGTAATACTAGTGTTTTATTTATATTAATAAGTACTTCGATAGTTTATGTGATTTTTATAATGGATTGAGTTAGAGTATAGATCTTATTGAGTTCCAGGACAATTACATAGATCGTCTCAGTTAATAGCTTATGAAATTATGATATTTTTGATTATTCTAATAATAACAGTATTTAATATGTTTTGATCTTGACATAAACAGACTTTTTACTCACTTCATTCTAGGTGTCTGTCTTCGAAACATCCATTTAAGAAGCTGAATCGACGAAGTTTTAAACTAAAAATCCGGGTTAAGAAACATCTCTGCAAGTTATCCAATAGAGGACTTCGAACTGTATTTACAGTGTAAAAATCTCGTCTCTAGCTATTGTTGTAACGGATACAGACTATTTTTAATTTTCATGTCTAAGTCTTTTACTCTACAATTTTGCTCGACTTCCTCTTAAAAAACCATTCGTTACTTCGGAAACAAAAGATCCAGTAAAGCTAAAATTTAGGATGTCTGGATTTTCACATGTGTTCTACACGATGACAGTGGTTTGACCAAAAATCTGAGAAGGTCACTGAATGCATGTGGAATAGTAACTACGAAACTACCTAGAAATTAAGTATTTTAAATATTTTTTCATTTGCAGAAGCCTTTTAGAATCCAAAATACAAATTACTTAAAAAACATTGACGCCACTATATTTTTGACTGTTTTTCGAATACCTACGCATGTGTAAATCTCAGATCAATGAATTATCTTTCTCGTGTTCTTCAATCAGTATTTCTTTTTCTGATTACTGCCAAAAATATATTCTTTACTAGTTCATTTTTAAGCGCGGCCAATAGGGTAAACACAGAGGTGGTCAAGTCCTTCAAGTCCGAACTTGGACTTGAAGGTTTTTTTGATGGACTTGGACTTGAAAATGGTCGGACTTGCCCACTTCTGGGTAAAATCACACTGTTTTCATATTTGGATTTAATTAATCCGATTATATATGCCCGTGGCTAGTGCTAGGAGTGGTCTGATTAGTACTTCAGACATCAAAGATCTCATATCAAAATTTCATGAATTCAGCTATGTAGGGAACATAGTCTGAACATCATTCGCATACTTCGGTTCTCGTTCGAAAAAAATGGAATTGCTTTGAGTACAAACATCGCCTTAAGGGTGATTCTTTCGAGAGTGTACCACATTTACATCGACTTTATCCGGATTGTTCGAGAGTAACAGGACTAGTACAACTTGAGCTCCTGATGACGAATATCACGTTTAAAAGATTCTAAAACAAC